ACAGCCACCAATGCAGCTGTGCTCCCTCCAACAGGCGCTCTCTAAAAGCACACTCAGGTGTCTAAGAATGTCCCTGAGCTGGAAATACAGACACTTGACTTGGAGCTACCTGGCTTCTTGGAAACAAGCAGGACCCGTGAACAGGAGAGGGGGAAGGCGGTCTGCGGCCAGAGCAAGTATGAGTAAATATGCTCATAAGTCATCAAACCACTGGAGTGGACCGGCTGATGTGATTCGGGAATCCACAGAGTTACAGGGGCAGAGCGACATCCTAGACATCATCTGCCCATCTCTCCTGTGTCTCTCCTTCCAAAACCAGGCGTCTGGATATGCATGAAAACAGCTGTTTTAGGAATCTGGAAAGCAGAGTGAGTGAGTTCTGTCTGCAGAACTCAGTCTGCAATTTCATCAATCCTACAACATGTGCTATGACAGAAAAAGTAAAACTGGAGGCTACTACCAAACCCAAAACTCATTTACAGTACCACCAAGGGTCTGGGGGCTCCAGCTCTGTGCTGGGCCCTGAGATGAGGCCTGACGCCGCAGTGCCCTGCAGGGGACTGCACTACAGAAGACAACAGGTGGTCACACATACGTGGACGGTAATGTGTGACATCAGGGAGTGATAAGAGCCACGAGGAGCTATCGAGCAGGGTGGGAAGACAGGAGTGAGCGGGAAGGCCTCTCGGACCGGCAAGATCTGAGCAAAGTCCCGGAGACAAGGAGGGCCAGCAGGGGCAGAGGACGGCTGGAGCGCAGGCTGGAGGAACGACAAAGCAGGTGGGGTGAGCAGAGGGAGCTGGGCCTCCTGTTCCAGCAATGCTCCCAGAGAGGCCACAGCCCCACCACCGAGTCCACACTGGAAACTGCGCATCTCCGGGAAAAGGGCTTCTATCAAAACGGGGCTTCAGTGGACCAACAACAGGAAGATCAAAATCAAGCTCTGCCATTCAAATGAAGTTTTAAATTTCAAGAGAGCGTAAAGAGTGATTACTGCAACACACAGAGTCATCAGAGCAGCCTCTTCAAGAATGAACGGCTTCAGTACACCCAGAATATGTGATTCACTCTGAATATTCTTTAAAAACATTACTTTGGGGCGCCTGGGTGGCTCAGATGGTTCAGCGTCTGCCTTCGGCTCAGGTCATGATCCCAGGGTCCTGGGATCGAGTCCCACACCGGGCTCCCTGCTCCGCGGGGACTCTGCCTCTCCCTCTCCCTCTGTCCCTCCCCGTCCCTACTCATGCTCTCGGTCTCTTGTTTTCAAATACATAAATAAAAATCTTAAAAAAATAGTAAAATACCTAGAAATAAATTGAGCCAAGGGGGTAAAAGAGCTATACACTGAAAATTATAAGAAATTAATGAAAGAAACTGAAGACCACACAAATAAAGGGAAATATATCCCATGTTCACAGACTGGAAGAAATGATACTATAAAAATGTCCCTAGTACCCAAAGCCACCTACAGATTCAATGCAATCCCTATCAAAATTCCAATGGTATTTTTCATCAGAAATAGAAACAACAATCATACAATTTATACGGACCCACAACAGACCCCAAACAGCCACAGCAACCCTGAGCAAGAACAAAGCTGGAGGCATCACACTTCCTGATTTCAAACTATATCACGAAGTTTTAGTTGTCAAAAGTGTATGGTATTGGCGTAAAAACGGACACAGATCAGGGCGCCTGGCTGGCTCGGTCAACAGAGCGTAGGACTCTTGATCTCAGGGTCGTGAGTTCAAGCCCCATGTTGGGTGCAGAGATTACTTAAAAAAACCCAAAAAACAAAAAACCAAAACAGACACGGATCAACGGAACAGAACTGAAAGCCCAGAAATAAATCCACACATGTATGGTCAATCACAACAAAGAAGGCAAGAATATACAATCGGGAAAGGATAAATGGTCTTGGGAACACTGGACAGACACAGGCAGCAGAATGCAACTGGACCCCATCTCACACTGTGCACAAAAACTAACTCTAGGTGGATTAAAGACTAGAAATGATGGAAGACCTGAAGCCATAAAGTTCCCAGAAGAAAACACAGAACAAAGCTCCTTGACACGGGTCTCAGTAACGACTGTCTGATCAGGACACCAACAGCACAGGAAACAAGACCAAAAGTAAATAAGTGCCCATCCCTGAACTCTACCCCTGAAACTCATAATACACTATATGTTAATTAATTGAATTTAAATACACAATACATATTTGGAAATGGAAAAATAAATTAATAAGCGGGACCACATTCAACTAAAAAGCTTTTGCACAGAAGAAAATAATAGTAAAATGAAAAGACAACCTACCGAATGAGAAAAAATATTTGCAAACCATCCACCTGATAAGGGGTTAACATACAAAATATGTAAGAGATTTGTACAACTCAACTGCCAAAAGCAATCCAATTTAAAAATGGGCAATTTCCTGACCAGACATTTTCCAAAAGAGGACATCCAGATGGCCAACAGGTACACGACAAGATGCTTCACCACCACTAATTATCAGGGATGTGCGGATCAAGCCCACGAGGAGGTATCGCGTCCCACCTCTTCCAAAGGCGGTCATCCAAAGCTGAACTGGTAACAGTGTCGGTGAGGGTGAGGAGAGGGAAGCCTCAGGCACGAGAACTACTGTGTGACCCAGCACACTTCTGGGTGAGTGTCTGAAGGAAATGAGAACAAGAGCCGCCTGCGCTCCGCTGCCCTCCTCAGCCTTCTTCTCAACGGGAGCACATGGGCAGGGGAACGGACGGAGGATTCGGGGGTGAGCCGCACAACGGACTATTACTCAGCCATAAAAAGGAGGACATCCTGCCATTTGTGAGGACCCGGACGGGCCCTGAGAAACAAGGCTAACTGAAGTAAGTCAGACGAAGAAAGACTCTCTATTCTCCCTGTACATGCTCACTTCCATGTGGAATCTGAGCGGAACTCAGAGAGACGGAGAGCAGAATGGTGGCGGCCAAGTGCCGGGGTGCCGGAAATGGGGAGCTGCTTGTCAGACGGCACACCTTTCCAGTTATAAGGTGAGGAAGTTCTGGGGATCTCGTGTACACCACGGGGGCTGGGCGAGCAATTCTGTCTTGAGTACCGGAAAGCCGCTGAGAGAGTCGATCTTAAATGTTCTCGCCACACACGGAGGAGGCAGTTCCGTGAGGCGATGCTGGTGGTGACTCACCGCGGAGACCATTCGGCAGCACTATGCCTATCCACTCATCACACTGTACATTTTAGGTTTGTACAACGTTACGTGTCAAGTGCATCTAATAAAGCTGGAATATAAAATAAGAGGCTTTCGCTCAAAAAAAAAAAAAGAAAAAAAAGGACATCATCAAGAAAGCAAAACCGACAATGCAAAGTATGGGGAGGGGCATGCACGTGCAAGTTGGGTATCTGACAAGGGGTTTGTACCTAGAATATATACAACTCAGTAATAAAGACCATGAACAAATAATAAACTAAAGAAGTGGGCAAAGGATCTGAATAGACGTTTCTCTAAAGAACACACACCAAGAAGCACATGAAAAGATGCTCAGGAAAATGAAAATCAAGCCACGGTGAGCTACCATTTCATACCCAGTAGGACAGCTATAATAAAAAAAGATGGGCAATAAAAAATAATCTGGAGGAAATTGGAAACCTCACACGTTTCTGGTGGGAATGCAAACTGATGCAGCTATGTAGGAAGATTCTAGAAATTCCTCAAACGGTTAAACATAGTTATCACATGACCCAGCAATTCCACGCCTAGGTGTATACCCAAGGGAAATGAAAACGATTTCCATGCAAAAACTTGTACCCAAATGCTCATACTCACAATAGCCAAAAGGTAGAAATAACCTAAATGTCCATCAATAAACAGGTGAACAAGATGTTGTATGCACACATCCACACAACGTAATATTATTCAGCCACAAAAGGGAGTGAAGTATGGACACGTGTACTTCGGAAAGCATCTTGCCAAGGGAAAGGAGCCAATCACGAGAGACCACATGTTGTGTGATCCCATTTACATGAAATGTCCAGAGTAAGGAAACCTAGAGAGACCGAGAGTGGGCCAGTGGCTGCCAGGGGCTGGGAGGCGTTTGGGGATACTGAGTACGAGGTTCTGCTGGAGGCACAGAGGAGCGCACTCCGCACCACTGACCGGCCACTTTGAACAGAGGTGCCGCAGCACATGCAGACTTCATCTCACGAGGCTGTAAACACACCGACAAAGCTTCCTCCAATTCCATGATTTTCTGAGGACTGCCTGTCCTGCTCTAGCCCTCAAATATACATATGCACGTATTTTGTTTATTTTTAAAAGGCTTATTTTAGAGAGAGAGAGAGAGGAAGAGAGGGAGCAAGTGATGGGAGGGGCAGAGGGAGAGAAAATCTCAAGGAGACTCCACACTGAACATGGAGCCTGACGCAGGGCTCAATCCCGAGACCCTGAGATCACGACCTGAGCCGAAATCACAAGTCGGACGCTCAGCCGACGGAGCCACCCAGGCATCCCCTGTCTGTATTTTAAACAACAAGTGCCGTATGAAGGCCCAGAACCTGCCCTGCCCCTTGGGCCCCTCTGTGCTGCCTGTGGTCAGCGCCCACCCCAGTGGTCACCCGGGCAGCTCTCCGGACGCAGCCCAGCAGCGTCACTAGCACCCAGCCAGCCAGCTCACCGGAGGCCTGCCCTCCGCACGAGACCCCAGAGCGCCACCCGCTGGCCGGCAACCTCCCACCCCCTCTGCCAAAGCAGGGGGGCTGGGAATTCACAACTTCCCTGATTTAGGGTGATGATAAGGAGCTCTTGGTGCGCATTCCCACCGTAACACACACGCTACAGGACGGGGTGGCACCTGCCCCTCAAAACACCATTTCCCAGCCACGACTGTGGGACTGCAGGCACCGGGCCATGGGAAGCAGACAGGACCTGTGACCAACTGGCGAGCCCCCTCCTCTCCGGGCCCGGGGCCACCATCCCAGAGCCCAGCCGGCGGATGGCCTACCTTGGCGGCTGCGGGGAACGGGGCTTCGGCTTCTCTTTCTCCTTCTCGCGCTCCTTCTCCCGGTCGCGGTCTCTGTGCTGTCGGTCCTTCTCATCCCGCTTGGCTCGCTCTCTCTCCCACTCCTCTTTCCTCCGCTGCCGCTCCTTGTCACGCTCCCGCTCGCGTTCCCGCTCACGCTCCCGCTGCCGGCGCTCCCGCTCTCGGTCCCGCTCCCGCTCCCGCTCGCGCTCCCGCTGTCGGTTCTCCCGCTCCCGCTCGCGCTCCCGGTCCTAAAGCCAAACACACGTGCTGGGTGGCACCTGGCACCAAGTGCAGGCGGCACACTGAAGGCCACGGGGAACGATCTCAAGTGCCCACTCTGTTCCCAAGCTTCTCCTTAAAACAGCGTTAAGCCACGAGCCAGAGGCCAGCTTGGGACCCAACCTAACAGCTCAGCACCACCTGCCTCCCGCCTCAGCCCTTCCGGTGAGGGGTGGACACGACCTGGCAAGGCCTCTCGTGGGCTTGGACCAAAGCACTCTGCTTGCTGGAGCCTGGTACAGAGGGCGCGCTCCAAAGTGGTGGCCCTTGCTTTCCTATGCACAACCCTTGAACATCTTTCTGAACCAGTCTGCACTCATCCGTTCCATTTCCACTAATATTCAAAGGTAAAACAATAAAGCCCAAATCACAGCACGAAGACGGGTTTTAGGCTCCAGGTGGCCTTGTGGGGAAATGAAGCATGTTCCTGCTCTTTCCCTGGCCCGCATCCTCGGACATGGTGGGGGAGAGAGGTGACGGAAAGGTTGCTTGCGGCACCCATACCCCGGCAGCCTGGCCCCACCGATGCTCTATCAGGGAGAGGGGCACAGGATGGTCAACCATGGTCCCACCACCCATGGGTTCCCAGGGCAGTCACTTCCTTTTGGTCCTGAAAACTCAAAACTCTGTCATATAAGTCACAGGACAAAGACCGCCCCACTGCTCCCACCAGACCTTTTCTTAGCGGCAGGTTCCCCACCGCTCTGAAAACACGAGGGACTCAAAACACTGAAACATGTTCGTTCATCGAAAAATACCAATACAGAATAGTCCTCCAGGAGGCCACCATGGCACAGCTGGGGAGAGGCCCAGGTTATGAAAATGGAGGGGGACAGCACAATTATAAACGGTATTACTAAGAAGTCTGAAGGAGGAATTTGTTCAGGAGGGTGGAACACACTCCCATGCAAGCTTATATTAATATTAATAACCCAATCGGCAAACCTAAGTTTTAAAAAAAACACAGCAGGACTACAGGTAAATTAAAGGAAGTCTCTGTTCAAACCACCACCAATTCAATCTGTGGATCTGAACTGTTCTCCGCAGTTAATTTAGGCTTGAAACTGACACACTGCCAACACAGGACTAAGACCGTATGAAGTCCTATAAAATAAAAAGGGGATCATTTTAAGGAATTGCCCAGTGAGCTCAGATGTGCACACCTGCATCCCACTTACCCGGTAATTATGGTACGGCTCCGTCTCCGTATACTGCACCCGGAAGTTCTCGTACTGCCCGCCACGCCAGAAACGCTCGATTTCATAGTCGTAATACGGGTCTGCATAAGGCTCTAGTCTGAAAACAGAGCCCGGGAAAAGTAAATCTTGCCACTTGGGAATATTAATGCAAAAACATTACATAAAATGTTAGCAAACAGAATCTGACACCACGTTATGAAAACAGACACCATGACTCAGCGGGATTTCTTCCAGGAGTGCAAGGTTGGACCAATACGAGGAGATTCATGACAAACCTAGAGAGAAAAATCACAGGACTGGAACCACAGATGGTGGCAATGTCTGGGACAAGAGTACCCACTCCTGGTGACAAAACGGAAGGGAAGTGGAGGTGGCGCTTTCCTAATGTGACCACACATATGTGTGCACTGTGGGACTGAAGCCATGGGCACAGAGGGGCGTTTCTGTAAGGCCAGGCCAATGCGAGGAGGCCACGGCCTCCAGGAGCACCCACTGGTGGGACAGAGGCCCAGCCACAACCAGGAGGCCAGAGACTGGGCGAAAAGGAAAAAGATCTACACCTGGAAACTGAGGCACAGTAAAGCCACTCCAAGCAGCCAGAAGAACCCAGCGGGGCAGACCGAGACCAAATACTCACCGCTTGGGAGAGAGAGTGGTCTGCATTTACAACAGTAAGCAAGAAACAAAAATACTGAGGAACAAAGTTCATTTAACCAGAAACGAGCAGAACGTATTTGAGGAAAATTTCACAACACTCTCAAGAGGACATAAAGAAATGGAAAAATGTTCCATGCTCATGGATTGGAAGAACAAACACTGTTAAATATCTACACATTTGGGGTGCCTGGGTATTATGCTAAGTGAAATAAGTCAATCAAAGAAAGACAATTATCATGATTCCACTTGCATGTGGAATTTAAGAAACAAAACACAGGACCATAAGGGAAGGGAGGGAAAAATAAAATAAGACGAAATCAGAAAGGGAGAGAAACCATGGGAGACTCATAAGGATAGAGAACTGAGGGTTGCTGGAGGGGAGAAGGTGGGGGACGGGCTTGATGGGGGATGGGCGTTAAGGAGGGCACCTGTTAGGATGACACTGGGTGTTCTATGGAAGTGATGAATCACTGAATTCTACTCCAGAAACCAATATTGCACTGTATGTTAACTACCTAAAACTGAAACAAAAACAAACACAGAAAACACTGGAAAGACACAAAAACACACGTGAATAAATGAGACAATGTTCCCTGTGTTGGGTCAGGATGACCAGACACTGGCAAGAAGTCAGCTGTCTGTCCGTTAATTAATAAACGTAGGGTAATCCCAGTACAAACAGCAGTGAGCTTCTGCATGAAGCTAGACAAGCTGGTTCTCAGGTGCACAGGGAGACAGAGGAAAGGGAGACCAGCCAAGAAAGACACGCCCTCTGAGACAATAAGCCACGGTAGGAGGCCTTTCTGGGGAGGAAAGAAATGGCCCACAGGAATGTGACAGGAAACCCAGAGACAGACCCCAGCAGGGAGGATAAAGGAGCCTCCCGCAGGGAACCACCACTAACCTCTGCGAGGAAGGTGAGGAGACCCCACCTTACCCACGGACCCAGAGGACCTGCCCTGGGGATGCCTGGGACCCTGATGGAGGAAAGAGGAAATGTAAACCCAGCAACACGTGGGCATTCTTGCAGGGATTTCTTGGCTCGAGACCAACTCTCCCCTTTGAGTAAGCTGGTGGGGGAAACCGAGGCGCCTACAACCCACAAAGGTGTTGCTCTGGGGAGCCGCCAAGGCCTGATCTGGTTCACCTGATGGCCTCCAGCAGGCTGCTTTCTGGGAGGCCTCCCCCCCGGCTTGTCCAGGACCTCCGGCAGGCCCCCCCAAGGCTGGCTCTGTGGATGACACAGCTCTCTTTCATTCCAAGCAGCCAGACATCTTCCTAAGCACCTAAGCCCCACACTACTCAGATCGTACTTAAGACAGGGGTCAGGAATGGCAGAGGCCTGCTGCAGCCAGAACGGAAGAGAGAATGCGGCCCCCGAGGCACCAGCACCATCTTCAGCCAATGGAGGCCCTGAGGGGCCCCTTCCCAAGCGGATGTGAGGGTGTGTGTTCTCTCAAAGGAGGGCTGTGTCTGCCGATTTGTGTTTGGGAAACTGGGTAAGCGGGGTGTAAATGGGCCCTCCCTGCGGGACTGCTCAGACCTGGAGGGCACGGCCAGCCGGCTGAGCAAAGAGCAGTAGCTCGACGGACGCACACCGGTAAGGGCTCCAGCCCAGGCCCAGGTTACTGCTGTTGACAGCTCCCGCCAAGGACCCATTCCTTGCAGCTGACACCCTGGGGTCCCCTCGTCTGCCAGTTCCCACCGTCCTGCGGGCTCAGCGTAGCATTCTGGGTTCACACCCCGCCCCAGCAGCCTGTGCAGAGAGGTTTCCTTCCTCCCTCCTTTCCTAAGTAGGCTCCAAGCCCACCACGGGGCTTGAACTCATGACCCCGAGATCAAGAGTCGTGTGCTCCCCTGACTGAGCCAGCTGGGCGCCCTGAGGTGACATTTCTTAATGTCTTGTGCATGTCAGATCCCATGAGTTGGTCGGCATCTGAATAAAGTGCCTCAGGTGGTGGAAAGAAGCTCCTAAAGCTATGAATTGGGGTCTGTCTAGAAAGGCACTATTTTTACCAAATGATCCTGCTGGACAAATTAATTCCAAATAATAGCATAAAGAGAACACCTGTTTTCCTGTCCTTTATGCCACCTCAGAGAGCTTCCTCACAGCTCCTGAGCAGGCACCTCCCCAGCGGGTCTCCAACGAAGCACCCAGCTCCGTGTTACTGGAGCCCGACCATGATAAGGCCAGCAGGCGCCACCACGTGACAGCGATTCAGAATTTTCCGTCCCTACCCTCAGCGTCAGGCCAGGGAGCCCAGGTCCCGGGAACGGATGTCCACGTTCTCAGACCTCAGTGGGTGGGCAGCAGAATCACCCAGAAGGCTTGTTAGCAGCCAGCTGGGCTCCACCCGCCCTTGACGCTCGGATGGGGGCATTTCTGACAAGCCCTCCGGCCCGGTGTGCTGCTGGTCCCGAGGCCACCCCCGGAGCTCAGCCCTCGGGCCTGTGCCCCCCTCCCCTCACCTGGCACACACAGGGACCTTGGTCACAGGCCTGCTGCGCTGCCGGCTGAGGGGCACCTGGGCACCAAAGTGGAGACGCTACAGGCTCCTAGGAAAGAACTAGCAATTCTGGGCTTTCTGAGTTTTCCATCACTGGCCCTTGAACTGCTGTTAAGCTCCCTGCTTGGTGCCTCAGCCGCCCCGCACGCTCTCTGCCAAGTGCTCCGTGTGAGGCTGGCCCACAGCAGGTGCCCTGGGAGCTGGTGAGGCCGGGGTGGACAAGGGCTCTGTCCTGGCCCTGGCCCATCACTGCCCACAGGGCTCCTGCACCCCAGCCTCCTCGCCCACCTCAGAGACGTCAGTGTAGCTGGCCAGCGTCCCCTCCTCAGTGGCTGGACTCCCAGCACCTCCTCCAGCCTCTCCCCTCCCTCCCTGCAGGGGTGGGGGCGCTGCTTCCTGAGGGTGCTGCTCCCAGAGTCTAGTAGACAGCGTGTCTTTACGTTACATGCTCTTCGTTACGATAGCCGGGGGGGGAGGTCTCCTCTGCTTAGTGGACGCCAACGGACACAGCAGAGGTGGCTTCTGCCCTGACTCACGCTGGGACCCTGTTCCCGGAGGTCCTGACTGACAAGGTCTGGCTGGGGCCTGGCCCACGAGTGTCGCAGAAGCCCTGGTTCATTAGCCCCAAGGCCCTGATGTTCAAACACCAAACCTGAGTGAGAACTTGGCTCAAAGGCCCATCTTCAGAGGCTTTACAGGCTGAAGGCCCTGCAGCGGGGAACCCCCGCCCCCAGCAGAGGAGGCGCGGAGTCGGCAGCCAGCGTCAGCCCGGCACCAAGTGCAAGGTGGGAGGCCCAGACCCAGACTCGCCACACTGGTCCTCAGGAGGCACGTGTTCAAGTCCCCGCTCCAAACAGGGCTGGGAAACACAGTGGCAAGGATGAACCTTGAGATTCTAAACCTTTTCTTTCAGGGCTCAGAATGACCACACTCAGGGAGCACCCTCTGCTCCGTGCTAGTCACTTGCCCCGCACCAGAGCTCCCGGGATCCCCCCCCACCCCCCGCAAGGCAAGATGATCACTGGCATCTGACACAAGGAAAATACGAGGCCTCAGGACATGAAGGGAGTCGCACGACTTAGCAGACATTTCTGACTCCCATGTTCCTGTCCGGGATCTGACATGACTCCATACCCAGAATGACAAAACACAGAGGTCTGAACTCCATCTTTCAATCTCCACGCATCGACCTCTGAGCTGTTCCCTGCCATGGCAGGCGTGGACCAAAGCGCTTCTCCTCCTTTCTGCACATGTGACAGGAGGGTCCTGAGACAGCCTGGCGGGAGCAGGTCAGGGCGCCGGGGTCCTGACACACAAGCCCCGCAGGAGCCCCTCCCCTCCACGCCGTCCACCAGCACCTCAGCCAGAGCCCGGCGACGGGGCCTTCCCGGAAGCAAGCATGAACGCATGTCGCTACAATCCTGACACGATGCTGAAGCCGGCTCCGATCACAGGCCGAATGCCACGCCATCCCTGTGACCTGGGCCCACACTGCAGCTGCTGCTCAGGAGAACCCTGCCTGATTCTGCTCCACAGAGGGGAGCACAACGAAGCCGGCCTTCCTTCCCCTGCAACCGGAGCACGGGCAGATGAGAGCTTTACTTCACATTACACGATTTCTAAAACCCTGACTTAGGTTTTCTACCATGTGTACTTCGGGCATGAGTCTCTAAAAGACCAACAGTAAAACATCTGGGAGAAAAAACAACAAAGAGAGCATTTACAACGAAAAGGGTCACACCTGCCAAGTTCCTGGACTCTGGTGACAGTCTTATGGGGGCCTGGAGGGCGGGCAGAGGCAGACGACAAGGCTCCAAAAACACCTGTAGAAGCTCTCCGAGCTCAGAGGGACCCACAGGGAGGCGAGCCCTCCCCAGGCGCACGGCCCTGGCAGAGCTGACACCCTTCCCTCACGGAGCAAAAAACCAAGGAAAGTTCATGCCAAGCGTCTGAAAGGATCCTGGGGATGCCATTCTTAGTCCAGGACAGGGGACAAGCATAGGCCCGCAATGCCTGAGGGAACCTATGTGCCTCTGCTCTCCAGAGCCCGGGCTCACACAGCTGGGGACAACTTAATACTTTATGAAAAGGGAAGGAAGAGACAGAACTGTTCTTACACTGTGTCTCGGACATCTCTGGTGATACGGTAATTCCAATCTCGGAAAACTTCATTCTCCTTGTCAAACTCCCGTTCATCTTCACCAATGGTCACCGTAAACCTTTTCTCTTCAAAATCAGGCTCCTGTTCTTTTCGAATGGTTGCTTTTTTTAAAACCTACCATTGTAAGAAGAAGTCAACGCCGGTTACTGTTTAGAAAAGCAAAAGGAAGCCTGTCCTGGTGTGACCCGTGGAGCCCCGGCCACCACGGCCGAGTGGCCCGCACGCGCGGTGGGGGAGATGCACCTCAGCTCTGGGCCTGGAGTGCGCGGTCACTGCACCTGGCAGTCAGGACAGGCCCGCTCAGTAGTGCCACGGAGCTCGCTCCCATTCCAGAAAGGGGTGAGAGAGCTGGCCACCTCCTAGAAATAGTCCTGACACTGAGCTGGGAAGCCCCAGACAGTCACTCGGTGAGGAAGCCCAAGTGTGGAGAGGAAGGTGAGGCTGCTGGTGGCATAAAAGCCACATGGAGTGGTTCCAGTCTCAGAGGAAAGGAGGGGTGGTGGGGTGTGTGCTGAGCGAGGGAGGAGAAGGGTTTTGTCTTAGTCTGTCACTTCCCTGGAGAGAAGTGGGGGCTCAGCAAGCAGGCCTGGTGCCGACGGACCACTAGCCTGACAGCCAGGGCCACAGTACGGAGTGAGGGAGCGGGGAGGGAGAGGAGGGCGGTCTCAGAAGAGGACAGCTCCTCCACAGGCAGGGGCCCCTGGCTAAGTCTCCGGGGAGGGGCACGGGGCGGCCGGCGGTGGGCTGTGGGGGCTGCTGCTGCCCAAGCCACGGGAAGGCAGCAGGCCTGTGGGCTGTGACCTCGCGCACCGCGGAGACATCGACAGACATGAGTTTCCTTTTGTAACTCCTCAGAGAAATCAGAGAAGTATATCCTCACTTCAGAGACTTTACTGGGTTTTCAATCCTTGTCTCTGAATCAAAGAAATGCTACTTTTGCTCAAGGAGCGCAGCTAGCATTTTCTTCTCGGGCTGTCTGGTTACCTCCTTCGCGTGCCGGAGTCCTCGTTCCCAGGCACTCTCTGTGGGGGGCTCTGGAGGGGGTGGAGGCAAAATTTCATCAACTACTGGCCCACCCTATTAAAAAACGAGAAGGGAAAAGTTGAGAAAGCAAGCAAAACTTTAAAATTTATAAAGAAACGGGAGCAAAAACCCCAGTGAGAGCGTTCGTGGCTGCACACCACCCGCTCTCCGAGCCTCAGTCTGGCCCCTGACCCGCTGCCCTGCCTGAATCTAGAATTACCTCCACATGGAGACACGGAAGCATCTGGAAGGCGACTCAGTGACTGTGTGACGTCACAGAAGTGCCTTTTACACAGGGTGTGTTAATGTGCTGTAAGCTGAAGATTCAGAGAGCTTAGATGTCCCATCTGCTAGCGGTTAAAGAAAAGAGGTGTTCACGCACCCATGGGTTGGCAGGCATCAGTGGGTGAGGTCCAAGAGGCGGGGCACCATTAGGCGGGAAAGGTTCGGCTTTGGTGATTAAGGAATAGTTGCCCTTGTCGTTGACTCCAGGATGTATAAACCTACAGTTCATTCCCCACGTGCAGTTCCCTATGGAGACAAAAGCCAGGTCAGAAAGGGGAGAAGAGAACCAGAGCGCACGGGTCGGCTTCCTGCCCGCTCTGCCTGCAGTGGCAGCAGCCTGGGGGCAGTGTCGGGAGCAGCGGCTCTACGGAGGCCTGGGGAGGCCCCCGCCCCCCGCCACCACGTGCTCCAGGGCTCCTGCCGCAGCCCTCGCCGTCTCACTCGCTGTGTCACCTGAGCACGGACAGGCCCCAAGGCAGGCGGCTGCGGCGGCAGAGTCAGAGCTCAGAGCGGGGCCGACCGGGCCCACGCCGCACGCCTGAACCGGGCACAGCAACCACCAGCCCCCCCGCCCCCCGCCCGGTGCCTGGCAGGCAGGCCGGGAAGGTCTCGGGGCCAGAGCCCGGGCTGAGGAGCCTCCCGCGAGCAGTACTTCCTAAGGGCTCCTGAAAGGGGCTGGGGTCATGTGGTCGAGGAAACACAGCCCCTGTTCCTAAGTCACTCTGGGAAGAGTTCATCGCCCCCTAAAAACAGTGAAGTCCCAGAGCTTCTCAGACAATCCGAGGCTGCCCCCTGCTCTGTGAGGTGGTCTCCCACTCGGGGGACACTGCACCCCCAGGAGGGCTCCGAGGTGCGCGGGCATGATCCTTATCCTGACTCCAAACACTGCGATTGCCTCGAGAATTCTGCGTCTGTCTCGGGGCGTCTCTACCAGCTCTGTAAATCTGCATTTCTCCCACCAAAAGTCTCACAAACCATCCCAGGAAACTTCTGTGCTTGAAAATGTGTGAGAGAGACAAGATATAGAAGACTGTAACATACTGGGTGTTCATACTTTACAAAAAAACAAAAAATGTCATCTTTTAGAATTACTCCCTAACAGAACACCAAGATGATTCAAGGAAACCACTTGACTTTTCAGAGCAGAAGGCAAGAAGTCCAAGTTTTAATTAGTAAGTGAACCACTTTTTAATAAAAATTTAATATGGGGGGGGTGCCTGCTCAGTTGGTGGAGCGTGTGACTCTTGATCTCAGGGTCACAAGTGTGAGCCCCACGTTGGGCGGATATTTTTTATTTTATTTTATTTTATTTTAATTTTTGTTTATTTTTAAATATTTTATTTATTTGACAGAGAGAGACACAGCGAGAGAGGGAACACAAGCAGGGGGAGTGGGAGAGGGAGAAGCAGGCTTCCCGCCGAGGAGAGAGCCCGATGTGGGGCTTGATCCCAGGACATGACCTGAGCTGAAGGTAGACGCTTAACAACTGAGCCACCCAGGTGCCCCTTATTTTATTTTTATAAAGATTTTATTTATTTACTTCACATAGAGAGACGCAATGAGAGAGGGAACACAAGCAGGGGGAGTGGCAGAGGGAGAAGCAGGCCTCCTGCCGAGCAGGGAGCCTGATGCGGAACTCGATCCCAGGACCCTGGGATCATGACCTGAGCCGAAGGCAGATGCTTAACAACTGAGCCACTCAGGCACCCCCGGAGATTACTTAAAAAAATAAATAAATAAAACACATGAATAAAAATAAAAATTTAATTTTTTAAGCGTAATATCTATTTAAGAGTAAAAAGAAATATATGGCATAAATATCTAATTTTAAAAACATTTTCAAGGGGTTAACATGTAGTTAAATTTTAAACCATCTTTTAATATATATTCCCTTCTAAATGTAATATTCCACTTGAATGTTTCTATCAACAAAACACATTTTTCCTTGTATAACATAAAGAGAAATAATCATTTGGTATTTAAGAAAAAGCTAAATTTGACATCATGAATATTTAAGCTTGTATTAAAACCAACCTAGTAACATAGTGACATGAATTAAATGCAAAATAAAGTATGCTTAAAACTAATTCTCTGGAAACGCAAAAATAACTAACTTTTAAAATTCCTAAGAGCGTTAGAGAGATCATGTAAGTCAGAGGCTGGGAAATATTACACTATGAGGGTTTCAGATCCCAGAGTCTCAGAGAGCTTTACAGAAAACAGACCTTGTATGCAGTCCTGCATCTAAATAAAGGGCTGTCAAGCCCTTCCCCATCTGTCACAGAGCTCGCACGGTATCCTCACTGATGTGCAGGTAAAAGACTAATGGAGATTTTCTGCAGAAAATCTGCAAGTACAGGAAAGTATTAATAAACTCCAGGTTTCCATAACTTTTTAACCAAACTTATGTACCTGGGTGGTGGATAAATGGGTATTTGAGAATCACAGTTCTTTTTTGTATGTAAAATATTTTTTTAAAAGATTTTACTTATTTATTTTAGAGAGAGAGAGAGAGAGAGTGCGAGTGTGTGCAGGGGGAGGAGCAGAGGGGGAGGGAGAGGGAAGAGGAAAGAAGCCCAAGCAGACTCCACACTGAGCGTGGAGCCCAGCACGGGGCTTAACTCACGACCCTGAGATCATGACCTGAGCTGAAACGAAGAGTCGGACACCACCCAGGTGCCCCTATATGTAAAATATTTTCAAAACAAAACCAAAAACATCACCCAATGAGCCCGCTGACAAAAAAGATCTTTTCTTGCTCCCACAGGCAGGAGGAGAAAAGAGGAACAGAAGAAATCAGTCAGGAGTGCCAGAGGCAGGAGCAGCGGCCTGCGCCCCCCGAGATTCTGGTGGGTGACAGGAGCCTGTCCTCGTGGACCGTGTGCGGCTGGGTGTGCAAAGATCCCGGATGGACATGTCTTGACTCCTGGCCACCAAACACAAGGAGAAGGTTGCTCCAGGCAGAAGGAGGGGAGGTCTACAAGCACCTACCACCAGGACAGATGCCCAGCACACGCAGGGAGGAGTGAGCACAGGAGCTGTCCACTCCCAGTAGCCTTTTGATTTTTATTAAGATTTTACGTCATCTCTACGCCTGATATGGGACTCGAACTCACAACCCTGAGATCAAGATTTGCACACTCCATCGACTGAGCCAACCATCCACTAGCCTTATTTTTTTTAAATCTTTATTTATTTAGTTATTTTTAAAGATTTTATTTATTTGACAGAGAGAAAGACAGCGAGAGAGGGAGCACAAGCAGGGGGAGTGGGAGAGGGAGAAGCAGGCTTCCCGCTGAGCAGGGAGCCTGATGCGGGATTCAATGCCAGGACCCTGAGATCATGACCTGAGCCAAAAGCAGACGCTTAACGACTGAGCCACCCAGGCGCCCCCCACTAGCCTTTTTAAAAGTGAATTTTTATCTGTGTAGAAAAAAGCCTGGAAGGAAACACCCCAAATTGCTGGATGGTAAAAAGACTTTAACTTTTACTGTCCTACTCTCTGTTAGTATGTATTACTTCCATAATTTAAAAAAGCATTTTGTTTAGGGAAAAATATTCTCTACAAAGTGGAGGCAAAAATCTCGTTTTAGAACTATATGGTCTTCTACTTCCAAATGAAACTTCACGAACACAGAATTTATGTGGACTGTGACTCTGACCGGGGAAAGAAACAGGCTCCTAATGATTTAACGACTCCACGTGGGGACACTGGCTTAACGAGCCAGCAGGGAACAAGGAGAACTGGAAGCATGGTCACGGCGGCAGGACGGGGGACAAGATTCTTCGCGAAGGCACTGATAATGTTTGATTTCGTAACTGAATGGTGGGCATCTTAGGAACTACTGTTTTTTTAATCATCATAAAAGCCTGTGGAGACACTGTTATTTTATATATATGAAATATTTATAGGTATGAAATAAAAGTAGCACACAAGAATATATCCCAATACTCTAAAAGGTATTCAGTGAGGTCTCCATGCTTCCAGGGCCCTCGACCAGAGACAGTTATCAATTTGCTGGGGATGGATCAATCAATCAATCGATGTATCCACCCCCACGTTTGCCCCACTTGTACCCTGTGTGTTGACCCTTGCTTCTCTCACTAAATCACAGATCCATGAAAAGGGAACCTGCGTGCGCATTACCAACACACCCACGGCCAGTGAGACACACACGACCTTTGCAGAAAACCTACCCAGTCCTTCCGCAGCCATCAGAGGAACTGAACCCAGAGATGATGGGACACCAAAGCCACGTCTCCGGCGGCAGTAAGCCACTGCTCACAACCACACCACTGACCAATCCACGGACCCGCCCCGCCCCTCCTGCAGCATGCGACGTCAGGAGAAGAAAGCAGATCTGCGGGCGTGCTCGCGAGCACGTACGCGCGCCGGCTCCAGAGAGACGACTAGATCGGTCTGCTGGCTGTCAGCACGGCGCAGCGCCGGCTTCGTCTATGGGCTGTCCTCGCCGTGTCCGCGAGGCGTCCCGCTACCGCGTTATTTCTAAGTAAGACACGGCGGTCCCATTTCCTGTTAGTCTGAGTAACTCAGAAGAGAAAATAAATACAGGGATTGTAAAAATCAGGAGGTTTAAAGTGCTTCATGGTTTTAAGAAATTACCAGTGGAAGGAAGGCAGGATATGTAAAAATGGAACCATTCAATATTAAGGACAAACTGAGAATCTATAAACATGTATCCTAATGGGTATCAAGTCCCACGTCCATCACGTGCAAGTTTTTAACAACAGAACACAAACAACTCAGGAGTACTTTCCTTTCCCATTTCACTGACAACCAGTCACCTCTCAGGGTATCTGAGATATTTTAATTTCTCTAACGAATACCTTCACTGTCTAGCTGAAATAATTAAAATAATATCTGGGCTGCTGCTTTGTAAACAATGTTGACTTGAAACCAGAAGTTCTTTAACTTCTAGGTCTTAGGAGCCCAAAGCATCACAAATGGTCGGATCTACTGGTATTCACTACAGAAATTAAGACTGAAAAAATTTAAAGACATAGTATATGCTATGTGTAACTTATGGTAACAATACATTAGCATAAGTGTTTCATGAAAAATAACTTTTAAAAATACTTAATGACACGAGCAGAATTCTCTCCTTTTTGCAAACCTCTTTCAAGCTGACAGGAACACAGAAGACAGCGGCTCTCTCTCGTCGGCTTCTGCATTCAGTTTGCCAGGACAGCTCGTTTGTGCTGAAGTAGGTGAAGGAAAGCCAGCCTCAGCGACTCTCGTGTGTCCCTGAGGCCACTTGAACCTTGTCAAGCAAGGCTTCTCGGCCGTTTGTTGCCGTGCAGGGTCTGTAACCCTCGCGCTGAACATTTCTGACTGTTCCACAGATGCGCACTGTTCCGCCTCGAACTGCGAGTGGACTTTCTACGCAGGTGTGATTCTGGGACACCATGCAACGGTCATCTGGAAAAGTCATTAAGCACTGCAGGTGGAGATTGAGGCCCTCCAAAATTCTGACTTTCACGTGACAGCCCAAAGTCATCATTAGCAACAGATACTGTCAGCTGTTCTCCTGGAGGTGGTGGGCTCACTTTGTTTCGGAGGAGACTGTGCCCTGTGTCCTGCAGCGGTCCCCGCTCACGGCGCAAGCCTCGCGTGCCCTCCCTGGAGATGCGGCTGGCACCTTCCTGTGTGGCACCTCCCAGCTGAGGGGCTCCGGGAGCGCTCGCATCTCGTCAGGCTGAATGTGGGAAAGACCAGCACTATGGGGTCTTCCTGGGGAGATGGACATGCTCTACAGCTGGATTGTGGTGACGGCCACACAACTTGGTAAATTTAATAAAAATCATTGAATTGTATGCTTAAAACACATGAATTTTAGGGCATGGATATTATACCTTAATGTATTTTTTTAAAGACCTGTACTCAAATGTAAAATTTAATTTAATTCTTACTACTCTCTTAGAGACACCATTAAGTAAAACTGCTATTACTCCACTCCGAGTGTCTGGTGGTCAATGCCCAACTACTAGTAGGCTCAGGACCACAAAAGTAGTTTTGACCTCAGGGTCCCTTCAAAGAATTTTAAGAACCTTTAGGGGTCCGCAGACCACATTTGAAGACCTGCTGCTTTAAACATAAAAGAGAATGCAGGGGGCGCCTGGGTGGCTCAGTTGGTTAAGCGGCTGCCTTCGGCTCAGGTCATGATCCTGGAGTCCTGGGATCGGGCTCCCTGCTTGGTAGGGAGTCTGTCTCTCCCTCCTCCCTCTCATGCTCTCTGTCTCTCATTCTCTCTCTCTCAAATAAATAAATAAAATAATAAATAAATAAAATCTTTAAAAAAAAAAAAAAAAGAGAATGCAGGGATTCAAAAACAGGCAATGAACATTTCTCCAATGAAGATAGACTGTTCAAAACGCCAATGGGCCCATGAAAAGATGCTTACCATCACTAATCATTATGGAAATGTAAATCAAAACCACAATGAGATACCATTTCTCATTAGGATGCTTGCTATCAAAAAGTCAGAACATACTAAGTGTTGGCGAGGAGGCCCTGGGTCCTTGCGCACCACGGGCGGGGATCCAATGTGCTGGTGCCACGGCAAACAGCATGGAGGCTCCTCAAGGAATTAAAAATAGAATCACCATATGATCCAGTAATTCCAGTTCTGGGTACACACCCCCAAAATTTGAAAGTAGGGTCTTGAAGACACATTCGCATACCTATGTTCACAGTAGCAAAAAGATGGAAACAACACCAACTGTCCACTGTTGGATGAATGGATGAACAAAATGTGGTGTACACACAATGGAATACTAACCTAGGAAAGGAAGAGAATTCTGACACCTGCTAAAACACAGATGAACCTCAAGGACACCAGGATGAGTGAAATAAAGCAGTCACAAAAAAACAAGAATTGTATCATTCCACTCCTATCGGGCACGTAAAGTAGTCAAAATCACCAGCAATAGAATGGTGGTTGCCAGGGCCTGCTGGAGGGAGGAATGGGGAGTGACTGTTTACTGGCTACAGAGTCTCAGTTTTACAAGAGGGAGAGAATTCTACAGATAGATGGTGGCGATGGCAACAAAGTAAATGTACTCAAAGCCAGGAACTGTACACCTGAAAATGGTGAAGATGGTAAACTTTACATTAGGCATATATTACGAAATTGTGTGTGTGTGTGTGTGTGTGTGTGTGTAAGAAAAGGGGGGTGGAGGGAGGGAAAGAAAGGGGGAGAACAGGAAGGAGCAGAGACGAGGTCTGGCCTGCAGAATGGATGGGCAGTATTGACATCTGGCTCAATCAGAACCCAAAGTAGGACACAATTTAAAGAAAATGTTACTTATGCTTTTGTAGATAGTACTTTTTATCTTGATGATTCAACATAAATACACTAGAGGTAAAAATATACCATCAACAAAACACGGTGCTTAAAAATGTTTCCATTTAGGGGCATCTGGGTGGCTCAGTTGGTTTTAAGTGTCTGCCTTCAGCTCAGGTCATGATCTCAGGGTCCTGGGATTGAGTCCTGAGTCGGGCTTCCTGCTCTGTGGGGAGTCGGCTTCTCCCTCTCCCCCTGCCTGCAGCTCCCCCTGCTTATGATCGCTCTCTGTCAAATAGATAAAACCTTTAAAAAAAAGTTTCCATTTTTATTTCTAAGTACATTTCATTGTCACTGGTCACATGTATCCATTTGGGCAATTAATGATTAATCTATAGAAATCTTTTAATAGAAATAGAACTAAAAAATTTTCTTAGGAAGAATTTTCAAATTAAGATAGAATTCACATACCATAAAATACCCCAAACTACAGTGCATAATTTAGTGAGTTTTAGTATGTACGCAGAAGGTACGCAACCATCACCCTAGAAGGGAGCCCCGCACTCCTTGGCTGTCACCCCCACCGCCCGCTCCCACTCCCTCCCTCCCTGCCCAGGCTCTGCGGCCTAGACAATGACCAACCCAGTTCCTGCCTCTATGGATCCATGCTGGATGGTTCATATAGACGAAAATGCAAAAGAGGGGCCTTTTGTGTCTGGCTTCTTTACTCAGCAGAATGCCGTCAAGGTTCATCCGTGCTGTGGGGTCAGCACTTCACTTGCTTCATGGAGGTATAACATCCCACTGTGCCGACAACCCGCACTGTGTGTAACCATTTATGAACTGACGGACATTGGGTTGTTTGCACCTGTTGGCTATTTTGAACACTGCTTTTATGAACATTTATATACAAGTTTTTGTGAGGACGTACGTTTTCCTTTCTTGTGGGTAGAGACCTAGAAGCATAAGTGATCGGATCGGATCACCGGACAGTTCTACCCTTTCCTGTTCTCCAGGCTGCCACACTGTTTTCCAACAGCTGCACCATTTCGTGCTCCCACCAGCAGTGTGAAGGTTCCATTTCTCCACATCTCATCAAATGCAACAAACTCCATTTTATTTTTAAAGTGACTTCTCTTGCTAATAAATGGAAATTACACGGAATCATCTCAAACTAATACCAAGCTTGTAAACTAAAGGTAAGCAAAAACATTTTCACCCAAAAACTCTAAGAAGCAAGAGATAAGTTCTAGAACACCCAAAGAATCAATGATTTCTTTCTGTACTGTATCATACCACTCCGAGGAATAAACAAGGAAGTATGGGCAGAAAAGGTAAATATATACTTGAAAGCAAAGCCTGAAACAAGTTATTGATTATGCCCAATCAAGTTGCAAAGAGGGCCGGTTGCCACTAGCCTCAGATTTCTCTGCAGAAAGCCCTGACCACTCGCCTTTGTCTCTGAAACCCAAGCTGAGCATTTCGTTGGGACTGTGTTGGGAACCTCCCTCCTACTGTGATGTGGCCCTGGGGACCATGGGGTCCCTGGAGATGGTGCCCAGTCCTTGCCCACGAGGCATCTCCCGAGGATGCTGATCTACAGTCCCAGCAATAACTTCACTTGCCTGTGTGCTTCTGTTGCTAAATTCTGGAAATAACTTCAGTGCTGTGACCCCGCGCACCTGGATGGGAATCTCCATGGCATGGATGGAAGGCACTGCCTCCTGCCAGGGGAGACCCTGGCTAGTCCTGACGGGCTGGCCAGGATTCTGAACCACACAGTTTGACAACAGTGCACATACATCTACGTATACATGTACGTATTGGTCTCCTCCTCTTTAATCTAGAAATTTCAATGGTGGATTGACATCATTTATGCCCACATAATTATGGAAAAGAGATCTTCTGCTTAAGTTAAAATTTTCTGAAATATTAATATTTCAAATACCAAAACTTATTTTAGGTAGGCTCCACGCTGAGCTCCAATGTGCACTTTGAACTCAGGACCCTGAGATCGAAACCTGAGCCAAGTTCAAGAGTCAGACACTTAACCAACTGAGCCACCCAGGCACCCCTCAAATACCAAAACTTTTAAAAAACTGTTAAGAACTGACTTCCTAAAACATACCACACACTTCTCTGCATTCTCAGGGTGACCATGCTGCCCTCGACATCACTGGCAGCCACCCTCCTGAAAGCAGAACGCACAAGGCTGCACAGTGGAGCTCACCACACGCACGTCTACCTCCAATGAGTTTCCACTTGGCAGAAGCCATGTCTGCATGTAAACGGCACAGGCCAGGAGCACTCGCCCTGAGGAGGGAGCTGACCTGGGTCCTGAGCACACTGGCTCCTTGGTCCCCATGCACCCTCTGCACCACGTCATGTTGGGTGTAGGGAGAGGGTCCTGCAGGGGCCACTCAAGGGCAGAGCCTGGCCTCTCAGGAAGATGGGACTCCACCGTCCCCTACTATCCCCCCCTCCCCGTGCCATCCACAAAGCTCCCGTGAGCCTCATCAAGTGCCTCTAAGAACTGAGGTCCACGACTGCTCTCTGCCCCTCAGAGCCTCCCCCTTCCTTCTGGCTTCACATCAGAATTCTGGATCCAGGAGAAAGAAGTCTGGCCTCCGGAGCAGAGAGTGAATATCGTATACTTTGTACCTTGAACCTGGCCTCTGAATGGTATGGAATGTGATATTGGTGGAAGAGGAGTGGATAAGGCTGTCACATCTGGAAAAGAAGTACAGGAAGCTCTGGTGAAATTCAGACCGTACGCGCAGGCTGGGCCAGTGAGCAAGGGCACCCAGGGCCAGAGCGAGCCTAGGACAGACACAAACATCTCCTACCCGGGCAAGGAAAATGTGGGCCTACTACTGTCACACGGCACAGAAACCCGTACAGACCAGGGTTCCTGCTGCCATGTGCGGGTTGGCCCCACTCCGTGACAGCCACTTGGTTCACACCATTCACCTTCCCGGAGCGAGCGACCTTGCTGCACTCAGAGCCCCTCCACTCCAAATGAAGGGTGTACTTTGGCACATTTAGCAAACAAGTGGTAACTTTCCTTACAGAGGTGGGAAAACGTCTGCACTGGCGCCTGGGCCATCTGGCCTCACGGCAAGGGAATGTTAAAGCTACGGTTCTGCTAGAAACAGCTGGGCTTGGAACCCCAAGTGTGAAAATGGTGAGGCTGGCCCCCTCCAAGTCAGTCAGGCGAGGCAAAGACCCCCAAAACATCGACGCCACCACCACCACTAATGGTCGCGGTCTGGCCCCAAGAACAGCCTTGCTCAGCTCCAGGGCTGAACCACCACCACAGTCCCGGGGAAAGCCAAGGCCACACAAGGCCCCTCAGACAATTACCTTTCATGAAGAATCGGCAGGTGGGACGAGGCCTCACCTTCCTGTCACTGGGGTCCTTTACTTCGCCCTCCTCCAGATCATCATCCTGAAACAAAGGACAAGAGGACTTGAGAGGGAATCACCGTAACAAGGAAGAGGAGGTGGGAGGGGCAGCTACCAACAGGCATGGCTTCCCCAGACGAGAAAGGACATTTTCATAAGGCTTGTGTCTTCGCTGCTCAGCAATTCACGTATGTTTTCCCAACCTCAGATTCCTCAGCCAACACAATGGCTCGCTTCTAAGACCCAGGCATTACACAGGAACACCAAGTAAGAACACCCTGTGAAGTAGGTAAGGAAGGTACAAAGCAGGGTTTCACCATATTTCCCTTATTAGCAATGCCAGGCAGAAAATGGTTACACTTCAGGTTTTTAATACTTCCTATGTTTAAACAATATTTATAGAACAAAATATTTATGCTCCTTTTCAAAGATTTATTTTTATTTATTTTAGAGAGACACAGAGAGAGAGAGAGAGTGCATGCAGGGGGGGAGGGACAGAGGGAGAGAGAGTCCCAAGCAGACTCCCCACTGAGTGCAGAGCCCCCTGTGAGATCATGACCTGAGCCAAAATCAAGAGTTGGACACTTAACCAACCAAGCCACCCAGGTGCCCCAAAATATTTTAGGTTCTTAAAACTAAATGCCGTGGGGTGCCTGGGTGGCTCAGTCGGTTTAAGTCTCTGCCTTCAGCTTGGGTCATGATCTCAGGGTCCTGGGATCCATCAAGTCGCCTGTTGGGCTCTCTGCTCAGTGGGGAGTCTGTTTCTCCCTCTCTCAAATAAATAAAATCTTAAAAACAAAAACTAAACACACTAGGGCGCCTGGGTGGCTCCGTCGGTGAAGCGTCTGCCTTCAGCTCAGGTCATGATCCCAGGGTCCTGGGATCGAGCCCCAAGTCAGGCTCCTTGCTCGGCGGGGAGCCTGCTTCTGGCTCTCCCTCTGCCCCTTCCCCTGCTTGTGCTCTGTGTCTCTCTCTCTCACTCAAATAAACAAAATCCTACCAAAAAAAAAAAAAAAAAGAACAAAATGTTCTGGTATATTTCAAAGTTGCTCCTTAAAAAAAAAAAAAAAAAAAAATTAAACACCAATGTCCTCTAAAAGTCTAGGGCTGGGGAAGAGTGAGGTCAGACTCAGACCCAGGCCCTTCTCTTCACAGTCCAGAGCTCCTAACCTTGGCTGTCAAGCTTTAACATGATGTAGGGGCTTTGAAAATACCAAAGCCTGGGTGGGTCTCACCCTCAGGGATTCCAAAGGACAGCCGTGATCTGGACCACTGCTCTGTGCCCTGTCCAGCCCCCACTACCCTAGGGCCTCAGTCACCACTGACCTGCAGAGACACCCACCTGGGCCCTTCAGTTCAGACCCCAGCCCCAGGGGTCACCTGCAGCCCAGAGCAAGTATGCAGCCACCCTGCTGACCTCTCTGGTGGGAGGTCCAAGATGGAGCTCCTCATTGCCCCTGTGTCCTAGCCTGTTCCAGGGCAGTCAACCCAATGGGTCACACAGGGCAGGGTGTGGGGGTCACTGGAGCATCTCACCCTCTCCTGCAGCATCACCCTCATCCAAAGTACTGCCCAGTCCCACCTGGTCTGGGAGCCACTTCCTACCTGGTGCCACCCCACTCTCTCCTGACTGCCCACACACAGTGACCTTTCTGACCCCAGCCCGCCTTCTTCCTTCTCCACTTCTGTTACCATGCGGCTCATCTCATTTTCAGATGACAGGCAAGTCTCCTTCCTCAGGGCCCCCCCAGCTCCCTTCGCGATGGGTTCTGGCTGCACGGGTCATGGCCACCACGGCTCTGCCCGACTGAATGCGAGCTCCACGGGGCCGGACTGTGGCACGTACAAGCACAGCACTGGGCTTGTAGCCAATGGTAAGCACTTGCTGAAGGAAAAACTACTGAAGTCAAACCCTGGGCTTACGATGACATATTTTTAAAGCTTAGGTATTTGTATCATTTCTGCCTTGAAAATATTTACTTATTAAAAAAGCATTTTAGGGGGCACCTGGGTGGCTCAGTCGTTAAGCGTCTGCCTTCGGCTCAGGTCATGATCCCAGGGTCCTGGGATCGAGTCCCACATCGGGCTCCCTGCTCGGCGGGAAGCCTGCTTCTCCCTCTCCCACTCCCCCTGCTTGTGTTCCCTCTCTCACTGCGTCTCTCTCTGTCAAATAAATAAATAAATAAATAATCTAAAAAAAACCATTTTAGGGGCATCTGGGTGGCACAGTTGGTTAAGTGTCCAAGTGTTGGTTTCAGCTTAGGTCATGGTCTCAGGGTTGTGAGAATGAGTCCCATGTTGGGGTCCATGCTCAGCATGGAGCCTGCTAGAGACTCTCTCCCCCATCCCTCTGCCGCTCCCTGCTGCGCACACATGCACTAATAAATAAATCTCAAAAAAAAAAAGGCATTTTATATACTGAAAAGAACAAATGCTGTAAAATTATATTCTTTAAGAACCAAAAGAAGATTTATTTTCTTTGAAAAAGATTAATTAATTTATTCAAGGACTTTTTTAGGTCCCCAAACGTACTCATCTTCTAACTGAAGTGTGTCCCCTTTGAACACCAGCACCACCTCCCCACTTCCCAAACAGGATGATTTCCTTACGTCTCAGAGGAAATGTGTTTCCTTCATGCGAGGGACAGAGCACCGCTCTCCTCTGGTCCTTAGCATCTTCTTTTTACAACTGTCCTCACAGTGATGATCACTATGCTAACACCTTCCTGTGGTGTTTACATAGCTCAAATGGAGAGCAGATTCTTCATGGCCATTAGGAAAACAAACTCTTATGAAAGGTTACAACCCGTTCAAATTTCTCTGCTTCACTTGGAAATTCAGGCACAGGAGTTGAGATGAGGAGAGCAGGTCTGCAGTCAGGACTCACAGCAAGTGCACTAGATCAGATTTAAAGAGGTATTTCTGCAAAGCTGTGACTTTTAATACTTGGCAGAGCACAAAGGAGAACCACCCACCCATCTTCAGACTGGTGAGCAGTCATATGAGCCATATAAAGGAGTTCTGTGCAGCTGCTGAAAACGCTCTGTAACAGACCTAGCAACGCACGGTAAAGCACCCGCGGTAGAACATCCACCCGGAGAACGCCCACTGGCCACTGCCCCCCAGGCCCCACACCTGCTAGGATGGAGACGGACAGCTGTCCCTGGTGCTATGCTGGGTTTATGGTCTCCCCTTTAATTAAAAAACAAACAAGATCAATAAATCACTCGGCAATACAATATCCCGAAATTTTCAACGAACCATTTAGTATGATGGCTTTTCAACTGATGAAAAATTAAAATAAGTTGTTAAACCTTGCAGAATTTCATGCAAACACAGATCAAAAAAGGGGATTCTAAAGTCAAATGCACACCGCTCCGTTGTTGGTGGCTATCATGGTGAGTGTGTAATGCACGCGGATTCTTTCAGATCACCTGATCATGTGGCTTCAGGCAGAGACAGTAGAGAGTGGAAGACAGGGAGAGGCCCTGTGGTCCGGCCAGAAGCAAACTGGTGGGTGCACCCACGACATAAAAGGAAGGATACACACCAGAGACGGGAGGACGCGAGTCGGGAAAGTCAAAATCAAAGACCCACAAATACGTATCTGAGTGGTCCTCAAACCCGGACGGAAGGAATGGCTCTGGCGAGACCCAGCAGCTGCAGGAGAAAGGAAGACCTTCACACGGTAGGAGTTGGTGTCGGCGGGCTCCACCCACTCTTCTGAGAGATGCAGAGGCAGAAACCAAGCCACAGGTGAGTCTGCTGTTAAGTGTGGCTTCCAGAACAGGTGAGAGACTATGGATTAACTGAGGCTCCCTGGGGCTTGGATGTCAGGGATCCTCGGCCCCCACTCCACAAACAAGCCAAGGTGCCATAAACAGCTGGCCCATGCTGTGCGCAAAACCCCACCCCTACAAGCCACTGCAAAGCGGTACCTGCAGAAAGGTATTTGACTGGAAGGGTATTTTGGCAACACACCAAATATATATAAAGGTCATTCAAGGTCTTAGTCACAAATTGTGTGGTTTAGACAAAAGAATTTTAAGGGTTTACTGCCCAAATTGATGTCACCATCGGAAAACTACCAAGAGGGCAGAAAAGTTGGGGAGGGTGGGTGTGACCCCACCGCATATCAGGTCACCTGTCCCAGTGACCCAAAATCTAAAAGTGAGAAAAAAGGCAGGACAATGTCTCATGACAGAGGAGAAAACACTTGGCTTTTTAGACTCTTCACTCAGTTGTCGGGCAATTCAGGGCCGGGAAGCTGCAGAGAGGAGGCAGGAAACAGGGGGGTGGAGGGGGGTGCTCTGGGTCCCAGGGAGCCTGCTGGGCACAGGAACTCTCAGGGACATCAGTGAATGCATATTTTTGAGATGTAAGCCAAACTGCACATTTCCTCCTCATAACGCATCCAGGTACACTTTTGATGAGCGGGCTTGAAAGCCAAAAAGCCCTCTGGGATGTATACTTTCCATGAGGCCAGAGGCTACTTTGCAGGGATTCACTAAAGGGGATCAAGCCAAAGGACTGGCGAGAGCAGGCTGTTCCCAGACACAAGCGCAGACCTCTGACAGCCAGGGGCTGGGAGGCAGCTGGGAGTGCAGCCGGCAGGGCCCAGAGCAGAAATCGGCAGAGAAGCTCCTGGAGGGCAGCCGTGCTCCTGTGAGGGTCCGAGTCACATCCACAGCGCCCCGCCCTCCCCTTGTTGAGGTCTGCCTGTCTCCAAGGGGGGTAACAGGTCCTGCTCTGCCCGGTCACTCTGGTAACAGTACAATGACCCTGGCACGCCACAGGGCCCAGAGGGGCTGTGACCAAGAGGCACCATCTGTGGCGTGGGGAGACTGGTTCTGCATGGATGAATGAAGCTGCACTCAGGTCTCCTCAGCAGCACTGTTTCCAACTAGGCTGGGGGCCCCTCACAAGAAGGTGTGATGGACAGCAAAGCCAGCCAGCCAGCCAGCCAGCCAACCAATGGTAGGATCTGAGGGGACAAGAAAGACAAACTAGATTTTTATTCCACATGCTTTTTCTAGGGAACCAGCCAATTTCTAGACAACGGGCATTTTCCAGGGCTGGCTCAGTTCAACCCAAGGTCCCACACGACTACATCTAAGTAGTGGCAAGCCCACTGGTGTGAGGACAGCAGGGTTCTCCAGGACCTCTAGGGAGACACCTGACCCTATATGACCATGGAAAGGTAGGAAAGGAGCTGAATTTCCCCCCTAAGACTTATTCAACAGTTGAAGCAAGAACTCACAACTGATCCTCTCTGAATGGGAAACAGGCCGCCAAGGACCCTAGGGCCATAGCGTCCTGGTAATCGGAGCCCCCTCCTCATTTTCTTGGGACACAACAAAGCCATGCTTTTCCCTCTATGACATTGAGAAACCATATTCACAGGCAATCTCAACCAACAACTTCATCTTTTGCCTAAAATTTCACCCAAACTGATGAACTTGAGTTTCATAGCATCTCTTCCCTTTGGTAACCCTGTGGTAGAGGTACATTTCCCAAAACGAAGGGAAGCATAGCTGGAAAACCTAAGGACACCTGCATAATCATGGCCCGACAATACCCTTTCAAATAAAATAGCAAGCAAAGATTAACTTAGTTGTGAAAGATAAAAAATCTAAAATTCTAAGCTTGTAACCACATACCCGCCCCCCCCCACCAAAGTTCTGTTCTTTTGAACCAAAGTTAGATAAGCAATGTTTAAAACCCTATAAATTTACCAGGCATAGTCATACCCCACCACCACGGTTTGAAATGGACTGAGCACATATGTACCAGCAGCCAACTAGGAAGTGTGGTGCTTACCATGAACCAATGGCTAAGTACTTCACTAGCAACCTTTTTCCTCCTCCAACCCAAAACATTTGTGAACCTATTCCACACACCTTTCACTGCCATGACTCCTGGACAGGCAGCATCTCCTTCCCTGGGGTACTTTAAAAACCCGTGATTATTTCAATGTGCTCTCTCCCTCTCTCAACTCCTTTGAGTAAAAGTATTACTCAGCAGAACTTCGGGCTCCCCCCCACCCCCAAAACTCAATTTTTTAAAGATCATGATTACAAAAGGAGTGCCTGGGTGGCACAGTTGGTTGACTCTTGGTTTCGAGATCAAGCCCCACGTAGGGTTCCGTGCTCAGTGGGGAGTCTACTTAGGACTGTCTCTCCCCTGCCCCCACTACAAGCAAGCACTCTCTCTCTCTCTCTCTCTCTAATACATAAATAAATATTTTTAAAAATCATGATTCCTAAAGAGGTAAGAATATGCAATGGGGAAAAGTCTCTTCAACAAATGGTGTTGGGAAAACTGGACAGCAACATGCAAAAGAATGAAACTTGAACACTGTCTTACACTATATACAAAAAACAAACTCAAAATGGATTAAAGACCTAAATGTGAGACCTGAACCAATAAAAATCCTAAAGAAGAGCACACGCAGTACTTTTTCTAGCATCAGCTGTAGCAACATTTTTCTATATATGTCTCCAGAGGCAAGGGAAACGAGCAAAAATGAACTACTGGGACTTTATCAAGATAAAAAGCTTTTGCATGACAAAACTAAGAGGCAACCTATGGAATGGGAGAAGATATCTGCCAATGACATATCCCATAAAGGGTTAGTATCTAAAACATATAAAGAAATTATAAAACTCAGTAACAAAAAAACAAATAATCCAATTAAAAAATGGGCAGAAGACATGAACAGACATTTCTCCAAAGAAGACCTACAAATACCCAACGGACACATGAAAAGATGCTCAATATCACTCACCATCAGGGAAATGCAAATCAAATCCAGAATGAGACACCACATCACACCTGTCAGAATGGCTAAAATTAGCAAGTCAGGAAACGACAGATGTTGGTGAGGATGCAGAGAAAGGGGAACCCTCCTACACTGTTGGTGGGAGTGCAAGCTGGTGCAGCCACTTTGGAAAACAGTATGGAGGGTCCTCAAAAGGTTAAAAACAGAACTAACCTATGACCCAGCAAATGCACTACTGGGCATTAACCCCCAAAATACAAAATACTAATTCAAAGGAATACATGCACCCTTACATTTACTGCAACATTTATAATAGGCAAGATACGGAAACAGCCCAAGTGTACATCAATAAATGATGGATAATGAAGATGCGGTGTAGGCACACCATGGACTACTCATCCATAAAAAAGAATGAAATCTTGCCATTTGCAACAACATGGATGGAGCTAGAGAGTATAATGCTAAGTGAAATAAATCAGTCAGAAAAAGACACATACCACATGATCTCACTCATAGGTGGAATTTAGGAAACAAAACAAATGAGCAAAGGGAGAAAGAGAGAGAGACACACCAAGAAACAGACTCGTAACTATAGAGAACACCCTGATGGGGGGCTGGGGGAAACAGGGGATGGGGATGAAGGGATGTACTTGTCTTGAGGAGCACCAGATGATGTATGGAAGTGTTGAATCACTACATTGTACGCCCGAAACTAGTATGTCCTAGAATTAAAATAAAAACTTAAAAGAAACACAGATCATGGGCAGCTGGGTGGCTCAGTCGTTAAGCGTCTGCCTTCGGCTCAGGTCATGGTCCCAGGGTCCTGGGATTGAGCCCCGCATCGGGCTCCCTGCTCGGCGGGAAGCCTGCTTCTCCCTCCCCCACTCCCCCCGCTTCTGTTCCTGCTCTCGCTATCTCTCTCTCTCTCAAATAAATAAATAAAATCTTTAAAAAAAAAGAAAAGAAAAAGAAACACAGATCATGATTAAAGTCCTTTCAACAGGGTTATGCATCATAAAAACCCAACCTACCCGTGTCTGAGAGGATATGTTAGCGTTACCTTCTCTGTAACCTGAAAGTCAGAGTATTTAAATAAATTATAACAAAGTGGGATGGCTTGATCAAAGGCTGAGGTGTTTGGAGGCACAACCCCCTATGATCCATTCCTAAGGGTCTTTTCAGGGACACCTCCAAAGATGCTTGGCCCAGCCAGCACCCTTGCCAGAGGACGGGCTCAGGGACAAAGATAACTTGGAAAAACAGACAAAACTCAAAGGAAGCTTCTGGAGCTCATCAGTCTCAAGAACTTAACAGGAACTGAAAATCCACGATGGTTTTAGTAGAATGTGACCTCAAGTAGTATTTAAAGATTGCAAAAAGAAAGGGAAAAATGATCTTTTTAATTGTTACACAAACCTAGAGCTCAAGTAAACAAAATCGGGGTTAAACATTTTAATACACTCCACCCAGAAGCAGCAGACAGGGGAGGGTCCACAAACTTCTGCCAGCTACCAAGTGGTAGAACCAAGTTTTCTGAATCTAGCCTATTCCTCCTTCTTGGTTTCTGGCACTCCCTAATTACCATAGTGACTGCTCCCAGAACAGTCCTGACTTCCCAGCCCTCATGTGTCCTGTCTCCTTGACTCATTACCCCCCCCATCCCCCCACCAGCCCTGGCAGCCCAGGCACTCACGTCCAGCTCCCCATCGTCGAGCTCCCCATCATCATCCTCCTTGTTTTTCTCCTTGGCGGTCTCCAGGGGCTCCTTGTCTTCCACACTGTGAACGCCTGTAGCCCCCTCGTCCCCAGGAGCTCCTTCTCCCTTCTCCTCATCATCCTCGGCGCCAGCCTTCTCAGCCTCGTCCTCCTGCCCAGCGGGGGCCGGCTCCTCAGGGACCTCCTCATCATAGTCTAACTCATGCTCATCCAGGTCCCTGGTGACTGACGAGGCTTCGTCCCTCAGGTCGCTTGTGTGCTCTTCCTCCCCTCCGTCCCCCTCCTCCACATGCGGGGGGCTCGTGGGGCCCCTGCTCAGATCCTGAGCCTCGGACTCCTGGTCCTGGTCCTCCTCGTCAGAGTGACTCTCCTCCTCCTCCTGGCTCAGTCCCGGGGCGGCATTGTCTTCATCCTCCAAATCAGAAGCCCTCCCCCCAGCTCCGTCTAAATCCTGATCAGACCCACTCTCCCTCAGAATGTCATCGTCCGAGAGCCCCTGCTGCTCCTCTTCTTCGTCCTCTGGAGAGCGAGGGTCCCGTTCAGGGCTCTCGGCCACATCCATCGGTACCTACAGTTCTGCAAAAGAAAGAGAACACAGATGCACAGCAGTTAGCAAAACAGAAAGTCAATCTTGGCCTGGTTTTCTTGGCCCCATTCTCATTCCCGACCTGCAGGAGGGACCAGGACCTGCACCTCTCTTGGCCCCACACAGCTCCTCCAAACCCCAGACCCCACTCCACAGACCACTGCTGCCGGCTGTTCCAGCAGGAAGGACGCTGGCTGGCCCTGCACACAGTACCTCCACAGGCTGCACGTAGTCCCTAAGCTGTGTCTAAGTGCCTCACATCTGCAGCTCTCTGGCAGAGACCGGGAATACTCCTTCTTGGCACAAGCACAACCCGGCAGGTAAACAGAAAGTGAGCAATACGATACACATTGCAAGGGACAGCTTTCTGGATTCTTAAATTATTTTTAAAATTCCAGAAAAGTTGCATTATGGAATGAGGCAACCAAATTAAAGGCACGCTGCTATTTTTCCTGGAGCTGCCCTCAAGGGTCTGGAGCAGAAACCCTGGCCGGCCTTGTCCCCAGGTCATGGGCTTTGTCCTGTTCCTGAATGCACTTCTCCAAGCGTGGCCGCGACTGCCCCATCAGAATCACTCGGGATGATCTTTGAAAATGCAGACTTTGGGCCTTCTCACAGATCTGTATGTCGGGGCCACCAGCAGACGCTCAGAAAGCGGCGTTCATCCATGCATGCTGTAATTATCTCACAGAACAGTGGAGAACCGTCATTCTAACACAGTATGTCATGGAAAAGACCTCTGGCAGAAAATTTTATGTATCTGAGTGGTTTCCTATGTAAAAAGACCGTCATTTTAGAGGATTTTTTTCCCTATTTTTACTAAGCTAGAGATAATCATAAAGTGGACATTTTTTCGTTTTCCCACCTCCCTGCCCAATGACAGGACATTGTTCCCTTAGTTTTAAATGTAAATTGCATAGAGTGGGACAGGAGTGTATGTGCACTAGACCAACACCAAAGAGCATCCACCAATGCAGCCTGGAGCAAGTCACTGCTGAACTAGTTTGAAATAAGAGGAACAGTGCAATGCTCAGTGTTTACTTGATTCTTCAAAATTTTAATTTAAAATTTTGTATGTCACAATTATGCAGCTTGGTATCTCAGCAAGATCTGGAAACACACACACATAATTACATACTTTAAATATAAAGAATTATTTTATGCATTTATAGAACTAAAAACTAAACATGTATCTTTCAGGTTTATACTTTTGAAAGGAGAACCTGTGTTTAAAGATGCACATACCAAGAGATGGTATCTTAACCTACAATTAAACATACTTTTTTTTTTGCAGTTAATGGAAATTATTATAATTGAGTACACATTAAGACAAATCACTTAAAATTCACCACTTTATAAATCAACTAAATGGTCAGCAAAAGAAATCTACAAACCAATCAATCCACTCACAGCCACAGTTTTGAAAATGATTCACTTTTCAGGTCTTCCTAACTGCACTATCCAGAGGTAGGACTATTGGGAGAATTTTTAAAAAGTCAGTCCTCAGGGGGCGCCTGAGTGGCTCAGGCAGTTAAGCATCCAACTCTTGGTTTCGGCTCAGGTCGTGATCTCAGGGTTGTGAGATCGAGCCTGGCATCGGGCTCAAGCTCTGCACTCAGCACGGAGTCTGCCTAAGATTCTCCCTCTCCATCTGTCGCCCCCCACCCCACCCCCACCCATGCGTGCTCTCTCTCTCTCAAATAAAAAAAAAAGTCCACAAACAATGGACTCTGTTGAAAATCGAGTAGAGCCCTACGCCCCACAGGGCAGAGCCTGTCCCTGTGCACAGCATACGTACCACCCACAGTCAAGATAAGCAAGGTGCCCGCAAGGTAAGGGCTTTTTGCTCTCAGCTGTCGCAGACAGGGCCTGAAAGGAGGGGGGTTAAGCAGCCACTCAGGGCCCCTTCCCCTTCCTTACTGAATAGTAAGATTTTCCTTTGTGCATGAGTCCTATGCCCATCTTTGCTTAGTTTTTATCACACTGTATTTAAGAAATCTTCTTCACAGGAGGGCAGTGACTTTCATCTCCCCAGCTGCTGAATCTAGACCTGTATGCTGTGGGCAGCCAGTCACATGGAGCTGGTTACTGAGCCTCAGACATCCTACTTGAAACCCGACAAATTCTTCTTTTTTTTTAAGGGGGGAGGGGCAGAGAGAGGAAGAGAATCTTAAGCAGGCTCCCATGTGGAGCCTGATACGGGGCTCTATCTCAAGACCCTGAGATCATGACCTGAGCTGAAACCAAGAGTCTGATGCTCAACTGACTGAGCCACCCAGGCACCCCCCCCAACAAATTCTGATTCTCACATTTTATAATCCAATGGCAACCCTGGAAACAAAATGACTTCTTACTTAAATCAATCAAATGTTATCTAAAATTATATGTCAAACTAGGTTAAAAATCTGCAACTGATAAGCTGCAGAAAAGACCCAAGTCTGCTACTGGCCTCCCAACATCCTACCCTGCTCACAGCCACAAACTCTCATAGCCTGGTAAAAGCCCTTTTTGGGGCCCAGATGCAAACAGGTTTGCACTTCGGTTTCACTGTTATGATTAGATCCAAACTGCTTTTTATATTCTGGGAAACTGAAATCAAATCCTAGCGTAAGAAATGGAAGAAAAAGAGTACCTAACTTCAAATACCTGAACCAATGCAAAAAGCGGGCCAGGCCAGTGGGCAGTTTACCCCTTGGTGTGGTGCAGTTTTATGGGGCACAGAGACAGTGCAACAGTGTGGGCTCTGCGTTAGAGCTGAAGCCCAGCCCCGCCGCTTCCTCGCTTCAGGACCCTGGGCCAACTACGTACACTTGCCACACCTCAGTCTGTCTCTTCACCTGAAACACGGGGACAACAGTATCCACTTCACAAGGCTGTTGCAACAATTAGATAAGCCTGATAACAGGCCAGGCACAGGTTCCACATATTTGAACTTAAACTGAATTAGCGAGAGGACGAGTCAAGGTAATCCTCAACTTCTAAGAACCAGACTCCTATAACCAACCCCTGTCAGACGCATTTCCAGTCTCTGGGTGCACTTGATTAATTCATTCACGGTTTCATTTGACAAACAGCTCTCTACCCCATGGGAGACTCTATCACTGCAAGGATGTCTGCAATAAAGCTGGCAGCCACCACCATCTGCTAAGAGATGGCCCCTCTGTGTCAGGTGCCTGACCAATCCTTCACGTCAGCCTTCCAAATAAGCCACGTTCCCTGTCACAGATAAGGGGCCCTAGGCCACATGGCCACGGAGCGGGCATCCTGGGACTGCGAATCAGAGCTGCTTCCAGGGCATGTCGTCAATTACAGAGCCCGGCGCTATGCATGAAATGAGCTGGGGCAAAACCTGCAGAGGAGCCCACCCCCTCTTCTTGCCACTGTTCCTACAGGAAAACGGGACCTGAGTTCCAAAGTAATTTTATAAACTCTTTTTTGGAACAGAACCCACACATCCTGGGGACTTCTACTGAACCAGTAGATTTTGCCTGTTTTTCTTTTCTCTCTTCTAAAGTTTTGTGCCGACCCATTTACACTTCTATCTTAGGCCCTCTAGAAACAAAAACATTCTCACGTACACAGAAAAGTTAACATACCATTTACATAGTCTATTAGTTAAAACAGTTATCAACATATGGAGGTCCAACTTGTGACACCAGTCATTTATTTTAAGCTTGCCTAAAGTTTGACTCTTATGCATGTAAACTAAACAGGAATCCAAGAATAACCCCAAAGATGCACACCCTTATACTGACGCCACGGGAAATGCTGACTGAAATCACGATCCCGAGAGGCTGGTGTATCATGGCAGGGAAAGTAATTTTAAGAAGTACTAACTGAGTACACCCCCCCACAGTTTAAATTTTGGACATCACTTCAACATTCCAAGGACACCAAGATAGCTAACTTCCTGACTCTCAAAGGCAGTTTTCAGAGATGACCAGAAGGTGGCAGGGCGAAAGGTCCTGGGCGCACCTGCTACTAGGAGGGCGGCCTAGTGCTATAGGGGAGTGGTGCTTAGCCTTAGGGGAGCAGGGATTGATTTGAGAATCTTGATGAAGGGGATGGGATGGCTCATCTCCCTAGAAAAACCTGAATGTATGCAATTTATCTTCCACTTTAGGGAGTTCAAAATCCCGAGGCTTACCCACCGCTCTCAAATTGAGAACACTTGTGCTTAGTATATGTTATTCTAGTACATATCCACACTTACCACGCTGTCCACAACTATTTGTCTGCAAAGTCTGTTGGCAGACCCCTCCCCTCCATGAAGTACCTGAATAAAAGGGTTCAGACTCACCTCTGTGTTTCCCAAGGTCAGCAAACAGCAGTGTCCCATGTAATTTGTCTAAACTGGGTCATGTCTGAGACTGAAAAGGGGGCACTATTAACAATTCCAACAGGTGGGACACCTGGGTGGCTCAGTCGGTTAAGCATCTGCCTTCAGCTCAGATCATGACCCCAGGGTCCTGGGATGGAGTCCCACATCAGACTCCTTGCTCAGCGGGGAGCCTACTTCTCCCTCCGCCTGCCGCTCCCCCTGCTTGTGTTCTCTCCCTCTCTCTCTGACAAATAAATAAAATCTTAAAAAAACAAAACAAAACAACAACAAAAAAATAATTACAACAGGCATGAAGAGAAGCTGTCCTAGGCACACTGGGACACACAATCACCCTTAGGAGGCCCTGACAATTTCCTGAGGAGTCACATCTTTTCTTTACCTATGGAACCCCTTGGGATTTAACAGTATGACGCTGCACACAGGTGAGCACCATGGAGAGAAAAATGTGCCAAAGAATCTACCTATTAGAAACAACCTGAGCCACACCTTGCTGCATAGAAGAGAAGTGTCACTGGGGGTCAGAAGATGGTTTGTGTTCCAGGCCCTGGGCTGGGCAGGTTCATGGTCTCACTGGGCATCTACGTCCTGTTTTGAGATGAATTCAATCTGGCAACCACCTGGGTGCACACTTTAGGTGAGGTGCTAGGAAGAACACGCAGCCTATCAAATGCAGACAATGCCATGGAGGGTCCTCTTGTCACATCTTCACCAACTCCCAGTTCAGGGTTTTTACTCAGTTGTTCTTCTCACACAATCACCTTGTAATTGAGGATTCTTGGCGAAGTTTAGAACCACCTCTTCGGTTCTTTGACCCACAAGATGGTGAACTTGCCCAGAGAACTGAATGACAAGTGTCCCATCACTGTGTTTCCACTGCACACTGCCTTTGGCAGACGATGCTCGATAAATGCTTGTTGAATAAATGACAAAATCTTGTTACTTGAGAAACTACCTGTTGCATACCAGGAAGAAACTGGAAATAAGGGCCCCGTTTTTAGAAGACTACACCAGAGTTCAGACCTGCAGGGGGCTGCCTCACCTCCCAGCAGCCACGCTGGAAGGCTGCACACTGATTCCAATGGCAATACTAAAGTGCAGAGCATTTTGGGAACTTCTCTGTTTGAGTGACCTTTAGAACACGCAAGTTCTTTCCTGGTGCTCTAGTAGCAGCAGGTATTCCTCCCCTCAAGGTAAGTCACTTTGAGAGGTCACAGGAGACCATTCAGAGCCTGGTCTGGTACATGAGGTGAGCTACCAAGCCAGGTAAGATGATTTGTGGTTAAACATAGGGTACGACTACTGAATGAGACCAATTTTCTCATATGACATATATTCACTGCCCAAACAGAAGTTATAAGGCGGTTCTGGCAAAGGAGCGGCAATGAAATACAAGCATAACCTTTTAAGATAGCAATTTTTAATAGAGCAATCCCTCTTTGAATGCTCAAGTTCTGGTACACCTGGTTAAAAATTCTGATTCATAACTTCACAGATTTACAACATCTAAAGGAAGGACGTCAAAGTAGATGACAGACAGTACCCCCAAACTGACGAAACTTGACCACCGAAACTCCTCAGGAAAGCAGCACTCACCTTGAGATGATGTGTAGCTGTGAAAAAGTAAAAAACCTTCTTATACATGAGCAAGGTCACAGCTTACCTGTTGGCTCTCTGGAATGATTCCACAAAGCTTCCTTACACCATCTGGGAATTCCCCACCCAAAACCAGAGAGGAGTTCCAGCCTTTGGGACACACATGTGCTCAGACTAGTAAAATCCTCAGGCAAAGACTCCAACCCCACTCCACCAGCAAGAGGAGAGAAGAAATGATGAGACACTGCTCTGCCCCCAGGAAGTACTAGAGATGCCAAACACTCTCTTCTTCCATTTTCCCCAAACGGCTCGAACACTGACCTACTCTTGCAAAAGAGCTTGCTGAACAGAGCTCTCGTAAAATGATCAACCACTCTACACGGCAAGTGCGCTGTCATAAAGTATTCGAGAAAACTTAACTTCTAGCAGGAGCAAGGCTGGAAGTGAAGTCTTAGGCTGCCCCAGCATGATAGCTACAGTTAGTTTATCCAAAGGACTCGGCATCCTTCGGGATCCTACAGGAGCAAGGAAGTTTATGCCTAAGAGTGGAGCTCGAATTGGGGCACGGCCAACACACCCAACCTGTGCACACTGAAGCTGAGGGAGCAAGTTCCGGGAGGTCTAGAGAGCTCAAAGTTCCGAAGAGCCCATCCCCAGTCCGGGCTGGTCTCCGCCGGAGGGCGAACCTGCCTGCCTCCCCCCACCCCCGCTGTGGGCGGCAAACATGTGCCACGCGAATGTCCCGGAAGAGAAATGACAGCTTCGGGAGAATGGACTCCAGCGCGGGGCGCAGAGGCAGCCGCGGGGAGTCCGAGCTCCAAGCAGGTTCCAGGGCTCCCCGGGCCGGCAAGCCGCGGACCAAACGCGGGATCGCGCCTGTTCCCGCGACCCCTTCCCAGGGCCCGAGAGCCACGCTCGGCCGGGGACACAGCCCGGAGCGCTCCCCGGAGGCGGCGGCGCCGGGGCTCCCGGGCCTCGGCTCCGCGCCGCCGCCACGCTCCCCGCCCGGCCGCCTCGGCCTCCTCCCAGCGGGCCCGGCCTCCCCGCCGCCGCCGCCGCCACCTACCTCAGCGCGAGGGCGGGGAGGGGGCCACGGCTCCGCTGGCGTCGGGGCGGCGCGGGGAAGACGTCCCTCGGCCCTTCCGCTCCTCACAGGCTCCGGCTTGAGGCGCGACGCGGGCGGAACAAACGGGCTCCACTACCCGCGGGGGCCGGCCATTGTGCGACGTCATCAGGCCGCGACGGTCGTCCTGCGGGCCGGCGGGCTTCCCTCGCTCGCCCCGCCCTCCGCCCGCTTCCTTCCGGCCTCCGCGCGGCCGCCTCCGCGCGGCCCCGCCCCCGCGGCGCGCGCCCGCCCGAGCCCGCCACGGCGCAGGCGCCGCCAGAGGCCCCGCCCCGGGGCGTGTCTCCGAGCCCGCGCGCCGCCGGCCGCCTGACCACGCCTGCGGGGGGGCGGGCCGAGCCGCGCAGGTGGTTCCGCCCCCGGAGCCGGAAATCCTACCTCCTCCCGCGGGCCCGACGGCTCCCGCCCCGTTGAGCGTAGGCACCTAACGCAGAGTTACTCGCTTTTCGGATACTGAGTTTAAACCTCAAAGCCTGGACGCGTTCAGCTATTTCCGTCGGACTAAATCGCTTACGCTCTGTTGAGTATAGTCAACTCAACACAAAATCAATCATTTTTGAGTATTGAGTGTAAATATCAAAGCTTCAGATTTTTAACCATTCCCGCTTTCTTAAAAATAATCAGATCAACAAAAAAATCAATCATATTGTAGATACTAAGATTCAATATCAGAGACAAATTTCACTATTTCCGTGGGAATAAACAGCTCTGCGTCTTACTGAACGTGATCAGCTTTCTGTGAGCGAAAGGACATCACGTGGTATTGCGAGCACTTGGGCAGCTTCCCAGCTGCGCACAGCCCCTCAACGTGGAGCCACCCTGCAGGGGATCAAACAGCACTTTTGTGTTTTTTTTAAGATACTATTTTTAAGTAATCTCTACCCCTGATGTGGGGCTTGAGCTCACAACCCCGAGATCAAGAGTGGCACGCTCCGCCCACGGAGTGCACTATTCCATTTTAAAGAGGAAGGTCCTGGGCTGGGCTCTTAATCATTTGTGAACAAGGGGCCCAGGTTTTCATTTTGCACTGGACACTGCAAATTATGTAGCTGGTTCTGGGTGTAATGAGGGTTTTAGGAGATGCTGGCAGAGCGGGACTTCCCTCAGCCCATCTTCCTCCTCCAGAAAGCCTGCAGTAAACAGTAAAGAGAGCTCCTCCTTGGGGCAGCCTGCCACCGTTGGGCCACATATGTAAGTGTCTGGCGGACTGTGAAGTTGCATGAACGCCTAGACGTTTGCCCTGTGTTATCTGAACAAACGAGCAAGGGAAGAAAGGGGGGCATGCAGAGAGTTCCCATACGACCCAGCAATGACACTCGGGTAGCTAACCCAAGAGAAATGAAATATGCACACAGACACCTGCGCACCAACGGAAATGGGCAGATTTATTCACAATCGCCACAAAGGGGAAACAACCCACATGTTCATCAACTGATGATAGATAAATATGGTCTATCCATTCAATAGAATATTAGTCACATAAAGGAATGAAGTCTTTATAAGAAGAGATAAGATAGCACAGAGTTCTTGCTCTCCCCCCCCACCCCCCCCGCCATGCCACATGAGGGCACAAGAAGGTGGTGCCTGCTTCCCTGGAGGAGGGCTTTCGCCAGAACCTGACCACACCAGTACCCCGTCCTTGGACTTCCAGCCTCCAGAACGGTGACAAATACATTTCTGTTAAGCTGCCCAGTCTGTGGTATTTTGTTTTGGCAGCCCGAGCTGACTAATACATTCCGTGTCCATGAAACATCCAGGAGGGGCAAATTCATCAAGTCAGAAAGTAGAGAGTGGTCGCCAGGGGCCGGGGGAGGTGGAATGGGGAGTGGCCGCTACTGGGAACAAAGCTTCTTTTGGGGTAAGAGAAATGTTCTGGAATTAGTGGTGATAGGCACATACTACAAACCACTGAATTGGGTACTAGAAAAGGGTGAATTTCATGGCATATGAATTATACCCTAACAAAGCTATTATTTTTTCATTTTAAAAAAAGATTTTATTTACTTATTTGAGAGAGAGAGACAGAGATAGCGATAGCGAGCACGAGCAGGGGGAGTGGGAGAAGCAGGCTCCCCGCTGAGCAGAGAGCCCGACTAGGGCTTGATCCCAGGATTCTGGGATCGTGACCTGAGCTGAAGGCAGACACCTAACCAACTGAGCCACCCAGGTGCCCCCAAAGCTATTATTTAAAAAAAGGAAAGAAAAGAAGTAGAGGCAGACATGGTGGGGGGGCAATGCAGAATGGGAGCAAGGAGTGAGAGGAGGTGGGAGGAGGGAAGGAGCGAGGGCTGGGGAGGAAGGCAGAGCACTCTGTGGGAGAGGGAGAGGGCCAGACTCTGTCCAAGGTTCTACCTCCTAAAGGAATCTCCAGCTACCCTCCCTTTTCTCCACCCACCTTCCTCACGTGCGCGTGGGGGGGGGGGTGTCATGCCACAGCTCCAGCCCCTCCCCTGCTTCCCACGCTCCCCCAGACACCAAGAGCCACCTGACTATAATCTCACTGCTCCAGCCTGAGGCCCCTCCAGCAGCTCCCCCTGCCCCAAGATAAGCTTTGAACCCTCGGCGTGTTGCCCCTGCTCTCTCACCTGTCTCCAGCCCTGTGCCCCCTCCCTTGCCTTCACCTGGCTGCACACTTTGCTTTGCCCCCAGGCCTTTGCTCGCACCATTCCTGCTGCCTGGGAAGCTGCTCCCACATTTCCTCGCCGAACTTTGATCATCCTCAGGCCTCACCCAGGATGGACCTTCTTCCAGAGCCTTGTCTGTCCCCGCCGCACGACTACGAGCTCCCGGTCGGGCACTGAACTGCCAGCCAGAGTATCTGTAGCACTTGGAGTGTGTGTGTGTTGGGGGGCCGCATTCAGAAAGACAGAAAATGGCTGGGATGGGTCAGAACCCAGTCTCCGTGAACCTGAATACCACGGGCTTGGACCGCTGTGCCTTGAGCTGTAGACCCCAGGTGTAAGCATATAAGCGGTGTCCCTGTGAGCCTCAGTTTCCCTGCTCTAGAGAGCGGGGCTATTCACACCTGCTGCCTCCTTCTCCGGAGGGAAGGAGGAGGCCACGAGGTGGCAGGCACGCACAGTCATTGGTTCACAGAGCTCCCTACTCACGCAGGCTGTGTGCTGGGCGTAGTCGTGACATCCTCGGGAGGCAGCCCCACTGCGATCTCTGTTTTACAGCAG